AGATGTATGGGGGTTGTTTTCTTTGGGGAAATTTGGGGTTTTTCCAAGGTAATTGTACCATCGGGTGTTGGGGAAGTGTTTTCCAGCAATAATCTAAACCTTTCAAGAAGGTTTTTGATTTTTATAGACGTCCCCCAGATGTTTGTTTCTGTGTGGTGTTTGGGGTTTTGTTTTTGGGGGGTGGTTTTTGGATTGTGGGTCTTGAACGCTGTCCCTGAGCTCTTCAGCTCAAGGCTGGTGCTCTACTATTTGAGCCACAGCGCCGCTTCCGATTTTCTTTTGGTTCTTTAGAGATAAGAGTCTCCTGGCTCTTTTTTTGTGTGTGTGGGGAGGGAGAGAGTGTATGTTTGTGCTAGTACTGGAGTTTGGCTCAGGGCCTAGCTGCTGTCCCTGAGCTCTCTCACTCAAGCTGAATGCTCTAACACTTGAGCCACAGCTGCACCTCTGGCCTTTTGCTGGTTTATTGCAGATAAGAGTCTCACGGACTTTCCTCCCCCGGGCTGGCTTCGAACCTTGATCCTCAGATCTCAGCCTCCTGAGTAACTGGGATTAGAGACGTGAGCACCAGAGCTAGGCGAGCACCAGAGCTAGGCGCAGGGGTTTTTTCTCGAGCGTACAGATGGAAGGGGACGGGGCAGGTTATGGGACAACTCTAGGTTTGGTCTATTCTGTTTTTTTGTGTGTTCTTGCTAGGATCAAATACGTAGGTATTTATAAGACAGTCCCATTGTCAGATGTGAAGTAATTACCCCTTAATTTAATAGCAGTATATCTAGTCTGTATAGACTGGAGGAAGGTAGCAGGCAGGGGTTTTTTTTTGTTTCTTGTTTGTTTTAAAATTCTACTTCCCCTCTGATTTCAGGGTAATTTTCGTGGTAAAAAAATTTTTTTTTCCAAATGTCTGACACTTACCAGAACTCAGAAAGTGGAGTCTGTGGGTTTTTCCCTAAAGTTTTTAGTCTAAGAAACAATGCTTTTGTTATTTAAGAATCAAAGCAGCTATTCTAATTTGTATGGGATGCAATAGTAGTCCAACGATTATTTCTACTCGTTAATTGTTTTATCTGATACCAGCTTGTAGGTAAAGGGGAATCATTTTAAATTCACTTTGTTTATTTATCGGTAGGTTCTTTATCAGTCTGTGTGAGAAAATGCATTTTGTGTTGTCATTTAAAAGTGAAAAGACACCTTTGGGCATACTCTGGTTTTCCTAACCTGCCAACTTCAGCCATCTTTCCATTTTAGCAACCGGAATTCTAAATAAAGAATTAAGTAGAGCCGGGTGCTGGTGGCTCACGCCTGTCATCCCAGCTACTCAGGAGGCTGAGAACTGAGGATCACAGTTCAAAGCCAACCCAGGCAGGAAAGACTATGAAACTTTTATGTCCAATGAACCACCAAAAAAACAGAATTGGTCCTGTGGTTCAAAATGGTAGCGTGCTAGCCTTGAGCAAAAGAGAGTTCAAGGACAGCACCCAAGCCTAGAGTTCAAGTCCCACGACTAGGAGAAAAATAGAATTAAATAGAGAACAAAAGAAGAGCTAAACAGAGACTCTTGTAGAGCCTTAACTTCCTTAAAAGAATAGAGGGGGAAAAATCAACTTCAAAGGTAAGCTGAGTTCAGACGTCTGAATCAAATGTAATTTCTAGAACAGAAAACATGAACCTTGCAACTATAATAAAGATAGCTCCTTTATATAGAAACTTGTATTTATGCAGGATTACTTCCAAAGCACTATTTTGTTGTTGGAGAGGGGGTAGTTTGCTTTTTTGGTAGAACTGAGAATCGCATTTAGGGACCATTAACAAGAAACACAAGCAGGAAAGCACCCTAAAAATCCAACCCACAATGATATTTCTCAAGTTGGGCTCTTTACTGGCTGAAGTTTACTATTTGTTAATGATTACAGAGAATCTCAGATAATTTGCGTTGTCTATACTAATAGCTTTCAAAGGTAATTTATGACTAATGATTATATGTTTCTTAGTATAAAATGTTTTTGTTTGATTGTATTTCGGTACCAGTCCCGGGGCTTGAACTCAGGGCCTGGGCACCGTCCCTGAGCCATTTTGCTCCAGGCTGGAGCTCTACCACTTGAGCCACAGCTCCACTTCCGGTTTTCTGGTGGTTCCCTGGAGGTAAGAGTCTCACGGACTTTTCTACCTGGGCTGGCCTCAAACCACGATCCTCGGATCTCAGCCTCCTGAGTAGGATGACAGGCCCATGTCACCAGTGTCCACTTCATATGATATATTGTGAGCTAAAGAACAAGGTGAGAAACATTTGCGTGGGCTGAATCACAGTAAGACAGTTCCTCAGAATCTCTGTGGCTGTGGCGGACAGGCCCAGGTGGAGGGAAATGCGCCCAGCCTTGCCGTAGAGATGGTTTGAGAACTTGGGCTGATGGCTCAGTTTCCCCTGTGTAAAATGTTCCACGATTGAGCTTTCCTGACAGCCTTCAGAAGCGTGCAGTCCCTTAGGTCCTGTATTTCTTTGCTTATTCCCAAACGCCTGCGGCTTAGAGGAAAGCCAGAGCCGACTTATTTACCCAAATCAGAGACGCGAGTAGCCTTTCAGCGCGCTCCTCCGAGCCGTAGCAGAGGCGTGGGGAGCGGGCCCGGGGGGAGGGGAGAGGCCAGGTCTCTGGCCCCCCCAATCACAACAGTGTTCCTGCTGTGGTTTTCCTCATCATTTCTCAGTGTATTATTTGAAGGACCAGCTTCAAACATTTGAAACTTCTAGAATCAGATAATGCCACCGTCCCCATCCGCATCGCCATCCTCACCACTGCCACGTCTAATCGACCCCTGGCCCACGCGGAACGCACACTCGGTCCTCAGCCGCAGCGCGGTGCGTGCCCGGCGTGGCCGGGCGTGTCCAGAGGGCTCCTGCCACGGGAGTCCCCCATGCACACGAACCATCAGCCGGCCAGGGGTCCAGCCCTCGGCCAGAAATCCGTGTGCGGCTTTTTGGTGGTTCGTTGCAGATAAGAGTCTCATGGACTCTTCCTGCCCGGGCTGGCTTTGAACTGCCATCCTCTCAGGCCGGCCACTCCCCTGTTCAGACCTAGTGCAGCTGGCCCCGCCCCTCTGCTCTGATTGGCTGAGCTCAGGCTCAAAATCTGCTCGTGATTGGCTAGTTTGAATACAGTAAGATGTATTTACATAAACTAATTTTGAATTAAGATTAACAATTCACAAATCATGAAATATACCTGCATCCCTCTGCTATTTCTTCTTTCTTTCTTTCTTTCTTTCTTTCTTTTTTTCATTGTCATGGGTCTTGTACTCGGGGCCTGGGTGCTGTCCCTGAGCCCTTCAGCTCAAGGCAAGCGCTCTACCACTTGAGCCACAGCACCACTTCCAGTTTTCTGAGTGGTTTATTGGAGATAAGAGTCTCAAGGCCTTTCCTGCCCAGGCTGGCTTTGAACCAAGTGATCCTTAGATCTTAGCCTCCTGAGTAGCTAGGATGACAGGCGTGAGCCACCACCCCCGACCCCTCTGCTATTTCTTTTGGTGCAGACCTGGGACTTGAACTCAGAGCCTAAGTACCATCTCTTCGCTTTTTCTCTTAATGCTAGTTAGTACTCTACCACTTGAGCCACAACTCCACTTCTAGCTTTTTGGTGTTTAATTGGAAATAAGAGCCTCATGGACTTTCCTACCTGCTCTGGTTTGGAGCTACGATCCTCAGATCTCAGCCACCTGAGATTACAGGCGTGAGCCACCGGCACAGACTTAGTGCCAGAGCCTCATAATGTGAACGGAAAAGGCTGAATTGAAAGAAATGTGTAGGAATTTCAGTTTAGCAACGAGGAGAGAGCAGGAGAGAGAGGAAGGCGGGCTGGTCTAGTTGCCTTACAGATCTCATGATTTGTCAGGTTGGTTATACTGGGAGCCATTTTCTTAAGGCATTCTAAGAAGCTTGAAATTGAGTTTGCATCCACGTTCACGTTCATGACAAAAGCAGGATGTTTTGCTGTGAAAAGCTTTTATCCCCTTTGATAAAAGTACTTTTACAAAGTACTTAAAAGTACACAGTACTTTTAAGAACTAAGCTTTAGCAGTACTCAGTAGCTCCCGCCTGTCAGCCCAGCTACTCAGGAGGCTGAGATCTGAGGATCGCAGTTCAAAGCCAGCCTGGTCAAGAAAGCCCATGAGACTCTTACCTGCAGTGAACCACCAAAAAGCCAGAAGAGGAGCTGTGGCTCAAGTGGTAGAGCACCAGCCTTGAACGATAAAGCTCAGAGACAGCGCCCAGGCCCTGCGTTCAAGCCCCAGGACTGGCAACCAATACAAACAGAATGAAGCATAGAAAGAAAGGAAGGAAGGAAGGAAGAAAGAAAGAGAAAGAAAGAACTCCGCATAATAATTGGTTTAAGAATTCCATCTTTGACGTCTAGCTAAACCCTGAGTTACGTTTTTTTGGCACTGAGCATGCGTGAATGTCTTGAAGCAATGATGTTTCGTTCCGGGGTGGCCCAGCTCTGAATCGTCCATCCACGGTTAGTGTCTCCTGCCCGTCCTTGGCTGTGTTTGGATCTGTGATGTCACAGAGCACCGGGTCACCTTATGGTTGATTTGGCACTACCTTGCTCCTTACCTCAATAGATAGATAGACACACAGTGTGGATATTCCTTTGAAATTCAGGATGTTGAATGGCACTGCGTTCCAGCAGTTTCTTAAAAGGTGCCATCCGTGGCGGTGCGAGCAGAGCCGCTGGGGACGATGGTGAGGAGCTGGTGTGGTCTGGCGGTCCTGGGTCACGCGTGGCTGGGGCCGTGCCCACCACCAGCACGCACATCCGTTCATCCTGTCTGCACGCCAGCTCGTGTCTATTCATTTGTGCCCATCATTTCAAAATGGGTCATTAAGCCGGGCGCCGGAGCTCCCGCCTGTAATCCTCGCTATTTAGGAAGCTGAGATCTTTTTCTAACAAGAAACAAATGAAAACAAGCTGCTGAGTGCCAGTGGCTCACACCTGTATAATCGTAGCTGCTCAGGAGGCTGAGATCTGAGGATCAGGATTTGAAGCCAGTCTGGGCAGGAGTGTCTATGAGGTTCCTATCTCCAGTGAGCCAGCAAAAAGCCGAAAGTGGAGCTGTGGCTCACATGGTAAAGCACTAGCCGTTTGCCAAAAAGCTCAGGGACAGAGTCCCAGTCCGTGAGCTCAAGCCTCAGGACACACACACGCATACGCACACGCACACACACACACACAGCTTCCCTAATTTCCTTAAACTGACTGGCTGAAATTATTCTGCATGATTTTCCTGAGTTAATTCAACTCTGGCAACACTTTTTTTTCCCCTTTCAATTGTAAAACTTTTTGAGCTTTTCCACTCAGGTGGCTAGAGCTTGCATTAAAAATAGGTTATGATATTTTGATAGTATGCTTAATAGTATGCTTAAACTGGCCCTGTCTCTTAGGCATACATTACACAAGGACACAGAGCCAGGGGAAATCTTGAGTACTGTTTCTTTGAAGTTTCTGGAAAGCAGCAATTCTGCTTGTGGGATTTTTTTCCTTCTCCCTCTGGAGACCCCCGAAGTCTGCCACCAGGGGGCGCGAGCGATACAAACAGCACGGGCGGTGGTGAGCCAGGCCTTTAGGCCCAGAAGCCGCTCCCGGTCACTGTCAAGCTTCTTGTTGTTATTATTATTGCCGTTGTTGTTGTTATTAATCCTCCTCAGTTGTGCCCTGCTTGTGTTTCACGTCGCACGCTCTCGCCAGCGCCCAGACCCTTTGCTCTGCGACTGTGTCAGTGGACTTGCACATTGGCTGTTATTCAACTGACGTTTGTTACATCTCTAGACTTGCTTGTGACTGGTTTCTGAAACGCCTTTGGCATTATCTGAAGCATGCTACTATCGTACATCTTCACTGGCAGTATTGGCAGTGTGTGGGACAGACAGACTGGACCAGTTTTTATGGAACCTAACTACTCGGATTCAGGTTGCTGGCACAGTGAAGCCAGCCTTACCGCTGGTCCTCCAGCTAGTGGAAGACGCTAAGACAGGGGAGCAGAGATGCAGGCTGGTACTCTTGGCTCATTAGAACACGTGCAGAGAGCAAGCGCTCACTCAGGTAGACCAGATGTCCAAACAGCTGAGTTTCTTTCACTGACCACCTATTCATCAAAAGCGGTGAAGAGCCAGTGGACAGGCCATAGGAAGGAGCCGGAGCAGGGGGTAGACTGTCCTGGAGTGGGAGGGACTAATATTAAATAGTTCCTTTAAAGTTTTCTTCATTTCTAAAAAATATAAAATGAAACCCTTCAGCATGGTTATGATTATTTAACTCAACAAGATCCAAGTCATTGTTTGGGACTTCAGCCGCTGGTGGCTCACACCTGTCACTGTAGCTACTCAGGAGGCTGAGATCTGAAGATTCGAAGCCACATCCAGGCAGGAAAATCCAGCGAACCAGCAAAAGGCCAGACGGGAGCTGTGGCTCAAGTGGCAGAGCTCCAGCCTCGAGTGGAAAGGCCTAGGGAAAAGTTTTTGCTGTGAAACTAAACTTCAGGGTGGGATGCCCGTCACCTCTCTTGACTTCCATGGGAGAGAAGTTGCAGTACTTTTATTTTTGATCAGAAAGCAACGCTCAAAGAGGAGATAACGAGAACCAAGTGAATGAAAAGCAGGAAGCTAGGTAGCGTGGCTCACGCCTGTAATCCCAACCCCTCAGGAAGCCAAGATCTTAAGGATCCCACTGCAAAGCCAATTAAGGCTGGACCGTTCCCTGAGATTCTTACCACCAGCTAAAAGCCACCAAAAAGCCAGAGGTGGAGCTGTGGCTCAAATGGTAGAGCATCAGCCTTGGGCATGACAGCTCAATAGCAGTTGGAGACCCTGAGTTCAAGCTCCAGTTCTGGCACACGCACGCACGCGCGCACACACACACACACACACACACACGAATGGAAAACGAGGTAAGCCCAACTGGGGTTCTTTTGTTGATATTTTTCTGGGACCCTCTCCCCCCACCCCATCCCCAGAGACCACGACCACAGCCACACCACACCCCCCAAACAAACCAACCCGACCCAGCCAATCAAGAACTTGGTTTTGGACAACTCAGGGTCTAACGCTGAACCCTTCGCACCTCTTCCCTCAATTGAACAGGGTCATCCTTTTTTCTGTTGTTTTTTCTTTAATTTTTTTTTTGGTGGTTTTCTTTTTTTTAAGTCACAGTTAAATGACAGCGTTGGAAAGCGGTGTTCTGAGCAGTAAGAGACGTCATCCATGTTTTTTTCCTTTGTTTTTCTTTTTGTTTCTTTTGTGTGTGTCCCCAGCCACGTCCGTAGATTACAGTTCCTTTGCAGACAGATGCGGCGGCTGGATAGAGCTCATTAAACTGAAAGCTCAGAGCATAAGGCGCGGATCAATGAAGACAAGTAGGCGGCTGCTTCCACCCCGCCCCGGGGATCTCAGAGGCTTATCTTGGTTTCCCGTGGTGAAAGCTAGACCCGATTGCTGTCTTGCCATTCACTTTGCGACACTGCAGGCAGGCGCTGGCACGCGAGGCTGTAGCCATGCTATGGGGTCACTTACGGAGCTACCGAAGGAAGGGCCTGCCAGCTAGGAAAGCGTCTTGAACATTTTCTGTTTGTGGTGGTTGTGGTTTGTAAAGCGAGTCTGGAAAAGAATGGCCGTCCAGATCTAATCCTTCTACGTATTGGAGAGAGGTTTCTGGAGCCCGGCTCTAGACATTGGGCAAGCGTGTTCCGCAGGAGTGAAGAGAGTTCAGAGACTCCCACGCTCCCGCGCTTCTCTGCACCGGCGGCCCTTGGGTCTGGGGTCCGTGTTTTGCAGGGAGCCATAGTGAAGGAAGGAGTTTTAGAATCCATGGAAAGGGAAGGAGCCGGCCACATCTGGTCCTGAATCTTCCCAGACCAGTTTAATGGCTGGTGGATCTTGGGCAACTCATTTAATTTCTCTTGAGTTTCACTGTCCAAATGAATGCTTTTAATTCAAATGATAACTACATTTCAGGGTTATGATGCAAATTAGATATATGTGTAGATAGATATATAGATGGATGGATAGACAGACATAGACGGATAGACGGATGGATGGATAGATTGATAGACAAGTTAGATGTGGGTGTAGATATAGATAGGTGGATCGATAGATAAGTGGATGGATATTGATAGATAGGTAGAGATGGATGGATGGATGGATGGGTAGATAGGTAGATGGACAGACAGATAGATGGGTAGGTGGATGGATAGATAGCTGGCTAGATGGATAGTACATGGATGGATGGATAAGAGACAGATGGGTGGATAGATAAATGGGATGGATGATAGAGGATAGATGGATGGATGGGTGAGTGGGTGGATGGATGGATGGTAGATCGATGGATGGGTGGGTGGATGGATAGTTGGATGGTCAGTGGGTGGGTAGATGGATGGTCAGTGGGTGGATGGATGGTGGGTGAATGGATGGATGGTTGGATGGATGATGGATGGATAGATGGTGGACGGATGGTGGGTGAGTGGATGGATGGATGGATAGATGGTGGGTGGGTGGATGGATGGATGGGTGAATGGATGGTAGATGGATGGTGGATGGATGGATGGATGGATGATGGATGGGTGGAGGGTGGGTGGATGGATGGATGGTGGATGGATGGATGATGGATGGATGGGTGAATGGATGGTAGATGGATGATGGATGGATGATGGATGGATGGTGGGTGGATGGACAGTGGGTGGGTGGACAGTGGGTGGGTGGGTGGATGGATGGGTGATGGGTGGATGGATGATGGGTGGATGGATGGATTGGTGGGTAGATGGATGGTGGATGGATGGGTGGATGGGTGATGGGTGGATGGATGGATTGGTGGGTAGATGGATGGTGGATGGATGGGTAGATGGATGATGGGTGGATAGATGGATAGGTGGGTGGATAGGTGGAGGATGGATGGATAGGTGGGTGGATGGATGGATGGATGGATGATGGATGGATAGGTAGGTGGGTGGATGGATGGATGGATGGATGATGGATGGATGGATGGGTGGGTGGATGGATGATGGATGGATGGATGGATAGGTGGGTGGTTGGATGGATGATGGGTAGATGGATGGTGGGTGGATGGATGATGGATGGGTGGATAGATGGATGATGGATGGATAGGTGGGTGTTTGGATGGATGGATGGTGGATGGATGGGTGGATGATGGATGAATGGAGGGATGGATGGATGATGGATGGATGGATGGATGGATAGATGGATGATGGATGGGTGGATGGATGGATGGATGGATAGGTGGGTGGTTGGATGGATGATGGATGGGTGGATAGATGGATGATGGATGGATAGGTGGGTGTTTGGATGGATGGATGGGTGGATGATGGATGAATGGAGGGATGGATGGATGGATAGATGGATGATGGATGGGTGGATGGATGATGGATAGATGGATGGATGGATGGATGGATGGATGGATGGATGGATGGATGGATGGATGATGGATGGATGGATGGATGGCTGCTGTCTGTGCTGCATTGGTGGAAGGGGCCGCAGGCCTCCACGTGACTGGTTTGCGGACAGCTTCCCGACGGCCGGGCGGGGTGGGTGCTTGCAGCCGCGCGTGTCTTTTGTCGGGTTCCACTGCACCGACCTTTTCTTTTGCAGGAATGCCATTTCCTCCCACACAGACTTGCGCCCCGCCTCGCTCCTGTCTGTCTGTCTGTCTGTCTGGCATGGTGCATGCGTCCTCCTGTGGGCCCTAGCTTGGCGGGCGGCCGCGATCGCCCGCGCCCCACGCTCTGCCCTCTCTCCCCGCGCAGCCGCCGCCCTGGACAAGGCCAGCGCCGCCGGGGGCGAGGGCGCCGCCCGGGCCCGCCCCGCGCCGCCCGGCCCCGCCGCGCCCGGCGGCCCCGGCGGGCCGGGCTCCAGCGTCGGCGTGGTGCGGATGACGCCGCTCTCCTTCATCCCCGGAGCCAGGATCACCAAGTACCTGGGCATCATCAACATGTTCTTCATCCGCGAGACCACGTCCCTGCGCGAGGTGACCGCCCGCCCCCTCCTTCCTCCTCCTCCCTCCCCCCCACCCTCCTCCCTCCCTCCCTCCCCCACCCTCCCCCACCCTCCTCCCTCCCTCCCTCCCTCCCTCCCTCATTGACGTTTGACGTTGGGCGGGGCTTGGCTCCCTGCGTGGGCACCCCCTGTGGGCGGGGCCCGGTGACGTCCTGCCCGGTGGGCGGGCCCGGGGAGGTCGCGCCGCGGTGGGCGGGGCGCGGGGCGGGGCGCCGCGATGACGTGTGGCGTGCGTCCGCAGGAGGGCGGCGTCAGCGGCTTCCTGCACGCCTTCATCGCCGAGGTCTTCGCCATGGTGCGCGCGCACGTGGCGGCGCTGGGCGGCAACGCCGTGGTCTCCTACATCATGAAGCAGTGCGTGTTCATGGAGAACCCCAACAAGAACCAGGTGAGCCCCGAACCCCGCCCGCGGGAGGCGAGCCCCGAACCCCGCCCCGAACCCCGCCCGCGGGAAGCGAGCCCCGAACCCCGCCCCGAACCCCGCCCGCCCGCGGGAAGCGAGCCCCGAACCCCGCCCCGAACCCCGCCCCGAACCCCGCCCCGAACCCCGCCCCGCCCGCGGGAGGTGAGCCCCGAACCCCGCCCCGAACCCCGCCCCGAACCCCGCCCCGAACCCCGCCCCGAACCCCGCCCCGAACCCCGCCCCGAACCCCGCCCGCCCGCGGGAGGTGAGCCCCGAACCCCGCCCGCCCGCGGGAGGTGAGCCCCGAACCCCGCCCGCGGGAGGTGAGCCCCGAACCCCGCCCCGAACCCCGCCCGCGGGAAGCGAGCCCCGAACCCCGCCCCGAACCCCGCCGGCCCGCCCGCCCGCAGGCGCAGTGTCTCATCAATGTGAGCGGCGACGCCGTGGTGTTCCTCCGAGAAGCGGACGCGGAGGCGCCGGGCGGCGGCGGCGGGGCCGAGGGCACGACCTGAGCCCCGCGCCCGCGCCCGCGCCCGCGCCTGCGCAGAGCTCCCGCCCCGTGACCCGCCGAAAGCAGCCGGGCCGCTCTGTGTGTGTCGTTGGTGCGCATGCGCGCGCTGGGCCTGGGCGCGAACTCTGGGCTCCCGGCAGCTTGTTGCTGGTCAATGGGAGGAGACGGTTTCAAGGATCCCCGGGCCGGGCCGGCGGGAGCCGTGATCCTCGGGTCTCGGCCCCAGGCCCGGCTGCCGCGGGTCCGTGAGCGGCGTGGGGTTTGCCTGCGTGCGCGTGTGTGCGCATGCGCGCGTGGTGGGGGCCGCGTGGCAGGTGAGGAACCTGGGGAGAACTGCCCGAAGGTGCTGCGTCTTCTACAAAGAACTTAAAACCCGACGACCTCCCAGTCCCGCACAGCTCTCACCGAAAGCGCGAGTCCCAGAGACGGGGGAGCCCGTGGGGGGCGCGGGGCAGCCACGCCGTGATCGACGTGCGTGATCGACGCGCTCCACCACCAGAGAGCCACACACACAGCGTGCTCCACCACCAGAGAGCCACACACACAGCGTGCTCCACCACCAGAGAGCCACACACACACACACACAGCGTGCTCCAGCACCAGAGAGCCACACACACACACACAGCGTGCTCCACCACCAGAGAGCCACACACACAGCGTGCTCCAGCACCAGAGAACCACACACACACACAGCGTGCTCCAGCACCAGAGGACCACACACACACACAGCGTGCTCCACCACCAGAGAACCACACACACACACAGCGTGCTCCAGCACCAGAGAACCACACACACACACACACACACAGCGTGCTCCACCACCAGAGAGCCACACACACAGCGTGCTCCACCACCAGAGAACCAGAGAGGGCATGCTCCAGCACCAGAGAGCCACACACACAGCGTGCTCCAGCACCAGAGAGCCACACACACACACACAGCGTGCTCCAGCACCAGAGAACCACACACACACACACAGCGTGCTCCACCACCAGAGAGCCACACACACACACACAGCGTGCTCCAGCACCAGAGAACCACACACACACACACAGCGTGCTCCACCACCAGAGAGCCACACACACACACAGCGTGCTCCACCACCAGAGAGCCACACACACACACACAGCGTGCTCCACCACCAGAGAGCCAGAGAGGGCGTGTTCCAGCACCAGAGAGCCACACACACACACACAGCGTGCTCCAGCACCAGAGAGCCCCACACACACACACACAGCGTGCTCCAGCACCAGAGAGCCACACACACACACAGCGTGCTCCAGCACCAGAGAGCCACACACACACACACACAGCGTGCTCCACCACCAGAGAGCCACACACACACACACACACACACACAGCGTGCTCCAGCACCAGAGAACCACACACACACACACAGCGTGCTCCACCACCAGAGAGCCACACACACACACACACACAGCGTGCTCCACCACCAGAGAACCACACACACACACACACACACAGCGTGCTCCAGCACCAGAGAGCCACACACACACACACAGCGTGCTCCAGCACCAGAGAGCCACACACACACACAGCGTGCTCCAGCACCAGAGAACCACACACACACACACACACACAGCGTGCTCCAGCACCAGAGAACCACACACACACACACACACACAGCGTGCTCCACCACCAGAGAACCACACACACACACACACAGCGTGCTCCACCACCAGAGAACCACACACACACACACACAGCGTGCTCCAGCACCAGAGAACCACACACACAGCGTGCTCCAGCACCAGAGAGCCACACACACACACAGCGTGCTCCAGCACCAGAGAACCACACACAGCTGGCTCCAAGCACAGCACCAATAAAATTGTATTGTGCTATCAGATAAGCAGAAGTTTAGTAGCGTCAGGGGCATCTTGATGGTGACAGACCAGCCAGTTGGCTTAGAACTTGAAAATGTACCTTGAAGTCCGCAAGCTGTACGATGAACGTGTATGTAGAAGTTCTCAGAGTGTGTCACACGCCACATGCAAATGAACTTTAGAATACGGCATTCCCCAATAAAACGTCATTAGACAATTCCGGGTTTTGTTTTCCCAGAAGTTGCTCTCAGCTGAAGCCCTGGTCTCCCTGCCACAGGTGTCAATATTTTTCTGTATTTTGTTCATAGTTTTATTTTTTAAATAAAAAAAGTTTCTAAACTGGACTCTTCCTAATGTTTCCGTTCTCTGAATCATTTGTCATGTCTGGCTTTCCTGCAGTTTTTTAACGAGGCTGTATTTAAGGTATTATGGGAAGCCTTCTAGATTTCAGTGAACAGTTCTTGCTCAAGGAGGAGTTACAGCCCACTGTCTCCATCTTATAAATAATATACACAATACATTTATAAATAACATGTTTTATCATATTTTAAAACGATTGCTGCGATTTCCTACTTTATGCCAACCAGGCTAGTAAAAAGAGTGGTAATCCCTTTCTGAAAAATAGCTGATTGCTGGTGGCTCATGCTTGTCATTCTAGCTCCTCAGGAGGCTGAGATCTGAGGAGCAGGGTTCAAAGCCAGCCAGGGCAGGAAAGGCTATGAGACTCTGATCTCCAATGAACCACCGGAAAACTGGAAGCGGAGCGGTGGCTCAAAATGGTAGAGCACCAGCCTTGAGCACAAAAGCTCAGAGACAAGTGCTCAGGCCCTGAGTTCAAATCCTTGGACCAGCACACAAAAAAAAGAAGCCAGGGCTGGCCTCAAACTCAATCCGCCTTCAAATCTGAATACTACAATTCAAGAGGAGTGCATTTGTGCTTTTTATACAAACCAGCGTTAATGAGTATATTCGCAACGTGACACAAACATCAGAATATAATGTCAAGCCGTTTCCACCACCATCCAACGCACATTCACCGCCAGGAACACCCGGTTCCCCACCTTCAACCCCCGCCCGTCCCCGCTCAGGACAGAATGCCTGCTGTCCTCTGGATGGTCACTGTGTCCGTTTGTTGGACGTGGAGTCACGTGAGGGCCAGGAGTGGCCTGGCAGGGTCTCTGCAGTCCTTGCTCCTCCGAAGGCAGAAGCTCACCTTCTGTGTGTCTATTCACTGGCTGGCTGGATTTTTGCCGATCACATGCCCCGAGCCTTCGTGGATGATGTGCACACGGATTTCTTGTGGACCTGTGTTCTCCATCCGAACCGGCCTCTTTTCTGGGGAAGGGTGGTCATGTGATCATCCTGTTTTGTTTTGTTTTTTCTATGATCAGAGACGCAGAGGCCTGTTCCTCCCCCCAGAGCGTCCTCCGTGGGTCTCCCTGTGTGTGGATGTCTAGAGTCCGGTGTCATCCATCCTGTGCCCACGTGTTGTAGGTCTAACTTCCACCTCTGAGAAAGCCTGCACCGTGTGTGTCTCTGAGCCTGGCTGACCTCACTGAAGATGCTTTGCTCCAGGTCCACCCACTTCCCTGCACCTGACAGGATCTGATTCTTCATAACGGCTGTGTAAAACTCCATTGTGTATAGGCGCGACATGTTTTGGAGCCGCTCATCTATGGTAGGGCACCTGGGCTGTTTCCACAGCTTGCCTATTGTGAATAGTGCAGCAATGAACACGGGTGTGCAGGTGTCTTCAGCGCACCCTGGCCTGCGAAGTTCTGGGTCGATGTCCAGGAGCGTCCCTGAGCTCTTTCACTCAAGGCTGGCGCTCTACCACTTGAGCCACAGCGCCACTCCCACTTTTCTGAGTAGTTTATTGGCGGTCAGAGTCTCACAGACTTTCCTGCTCTGGCTGGCCTTGAACCGTGATCCTCAGATCTCAGCCTCCTGAGTAGCTGGGATGACAGGTGTGAATCACCAAACCCCTCCCTCCCCCGGCTTCTCTTTTAACCTAACTGAACAGCTGCCAAGATTTTCCCAGGTGGCCTTTCCAGTCTTCCAGAACGCTCGCCACCACCACACCTCCATCATAAGAATTCTACTGTCTTCATCCCCTCACCAACTCTGGCTTGCTGCCTAACCTACTGGGTGTGGAGTTTTCCTGTGGTACAGGGAATGTTCTAGAAGCTGCTGGGTGACAGGCTAGGCAAGCCTGGTCTCGGACAAGAGGCCCCAGGCTGTGGAGCAAGGAGCAGTACTGATAATACTGCCCTTTGCCTCTCACCTCAGGCTGTGAACCAGGGAACTGTCAGGCCACAGAGTCCCTCGGCTTCTTGGAGACTGAGATGCCAGCTGTGAGGTCAGGGAGGCGGAGCTGACCTGCGACATTTCCATCCCTCACTGCAAGTCAGGGTTATAGTGCCATCTCACTTTGGGTGTGTGAGTGCCAGTCCTGGGACTTGAACTCAGGGCCTGGGCACGCTGTCCCTGAGCTCTTTCAACTCAAGGCTAGCTCTCTACCACTTGGAACCACACAGCTCCACTTTGGGGCTTTTTACTGGTTCATTGGAGAGCAGAGTCTCACAGACTTGCCTGCCTGGGCTGGCCTTGAACCGTGATCCTCACGTCTCAGCCTCCTGAGTAGCTGGGATGACAGGCGGGAGCCGCTTGTCAGCACCAGTTGGTTTTCCTCCTCGTTCCTTTTGGGGATAAAGCACTGGGCCTTGGCCCCCACCCCACACACAGCGTGGATTGTAAGACACATTTATCTGCTTGCAGCCACCCCCCCCTCCCACGCTGGCACACACGCCAGTTGTGATGACAGAAAACGCTGAAAACATGCATTGATAAAATGGGTAGGAGGTGAGCAGACTGCGCTCAGTGGATGGATGGATGGATGGATGGATGGATGGATGGATGGATGGATGGATGGATGGATGGGTGGGTGGGTGGGTGGATGGATGGATGGATGGATGGATGGATGGATGGATGGATGGGTGGATGGGTGGATGGGTGGATGGGTGGATGGATGGATGGATGGGTGGATGGATGCATGGATGGATGCATGGATGCATGGATGGATGGATGGATGGATGGATGGATAGATGGGTGTTCCCTGGGGAAAGGTTCCAGAAAGCTCTTCCTACATATTTCTATCATGAGCCTAAAGAGTGGATCGTCCTTTTGTGTGCCTCACGGGAAGCCCGTGATGTTGGGTCGCATCGGCAGAGTGGAATTCCGCTCCACGTGAGCTCTCCACTCTTAGAAATGAAATGATTAATAACCTGGTCCCCATTTGCTTCCCTGTCTTATTCCAGTGGATTTCTGTGTATTCAAAGTTTCACTGCTATCAGCCTAGAAATTTCTGTGTCATAGGCAGTATTGACTGCATATAAGATGCATGAAAGGTATGTTCTCTCTCTCTCTCTCTCTCTCTCTCTCTCTCTCTTTCTCTCTCCTCTCTCTCTCTCTCTGTAAAAATTAAAATGCTTCTGGCCTCTGAGAGCTCACGCCTGTCATCCCAGGACTCAGGAGGCTGAGATCTGAGGATCATGGTTCAAGGCCAGCCCAGGCGGGAAAGTCCATGAGACTCTGATCTCCCATGAACCACCTGAAAACCAAAAGTGGAGCTGTGGCTCAAGTGGTAGAGCACCAGCCTTGAGTGAAAGAGCTCAGGGACAGCGCCCAGACCCCGAGTTCAAGCCCCAGGACCGGCACTTACACACAAAAATAGGAATTATTCATTTTGATTTCTGGATGATTTAACATGACTACCCAGTCAAATTGCTGATTACAACATCTGCTGAAGATTATCTCTCAGTGTATGCATAGTGCTTTCATTTTTATTAATGTGCCAAGTCTGGGGCTTGAACTCAGGGCCTGGGCGCTGTCCCTCAGCTCTTCAGCTCAAAGTGAGTGCTCTACCACTTGAGCCACAGCGCCACTTCCAGTTTTCTGAGTGATTTATTGGAGATAAGAGTCTCACGGACTTTCCTGCCTAGTCTGGCCTTGAACCTCGATCCTCAGATCTCAGCCTCCTGAGTAGCTGGGATGACAGGAATGAGCCACCAGCACGTGGCTGATTATTATTATTATGGTTTTTTTTCTCTGCTGAGTCATATTCCTTTTTATGGATGGCGTTTCTTTAGCGCCTATCAGAGAAAGAATATTTGGGTTCCTTCCCAATTTGGCATTTACATATTAAGTTGCTACACGCATCTGTGGATAGGTTGTTGGTGGGAACATACGTTTGTATTGCTTTTTGGAAAATAGCTACAAAGTGGGTTAAAGAGTCAGTCAGTCACTTGTTTCCAGTTAACAGTGAGGGTTTATGGTAAGTTTGCTTTCCTTCCTCCTTCCCTCCCTCCTTCCCATCTTTCTCCCTCCCTCCCTCCCTCCCTTCTTCCGTTCTTCCTCCCTCCCTCCCTCCCTTCCTTTTCTCTTGCTTCTTTTTTCTCTGGGTCTCTGTGTTACTAAAATCAGTGTGTGTGTGTGTGTGAACTCAAGGCTTGGGTGCTGTCCCTAGGCTTTTTCCACTCGAGGCTGGCGCTCCACCAATTGGGCCATGGCTCCACGTTCTCTTTTTGCTGGTTCATTGGAGATCAGAGTCTTGCAGACTTTCCTGCCTGGGCTGGCTTTGAACTGTGATCCTCAGATCTCAGCCTCCCGAGTCGCTGGGATGACAGGCGGGAGCACAGGTGCCTAATGCTGCTCTTCTTTGTCAAGAATCCTATGAGCTCTGCTGTAGTGAAATGTAGGTGAAGATGGTTTGGGGTTCACACTTCCTTGCGGAGTAGGGGGGTGGATTCTGGAATTGGACTGACAGTGGACAGCGGTGTGTAGAAGCAGGAGTCAGGCCAGGCGCTGGTGGCTCCCGCCTGTCACCCCAGCTCCTCAGGAGGCTGAGATCTGAGGATCGTGGTTCGAAGCCAGCCCAGGGCAGGAAAGTCCATGACACTCTGATCTCCAATGAACCACCAGAAAACCAGAAGTGGCGCTGTGGCTCAAGTGGTAGAGCGCCAGCCTTGAGTGAAAGAGCTCAGGGACAGCGCCCAGGCCCCGAGTTCAAGCCCCAGGACTGACCAAGACAAACAGACAAAAAAAAGCCCTGCACGGATCGAGTGTGGGATGTGGGGGGGGGAGGCAGTTATTCCGGGATCGTCCTTCTGGTGCTGGGGAGGGAAGGGGAGGCTGCCGTGGATTGAGATGCTGGAGAGAGGCGGGGTGTCAGTTCTCCTTTCTGCGAGGGGGGGGCGGGCAGACACCTGCGCCCGTGCGGCGGAAGACACAGGCACAAAGACAGAGCGCCATGCCCGGGGAGGTGACCTGGAGGGCGCCGGGGTGCGCGCGCATGCGCGGGCGTGAGCCTGAACGTGGGCGCGCGCGTGTGATCGTGTGTGCCTGTGTGCGCTTGCGTGCGAGCATGTGCGTGAGCGCGCGTGTGAGTGTGCATGCCTGCACAGCATGTGTGCATGTGCGTGCATGCCTGCGTGTGTGCATTGCATGCATACACGTGAGCTTGTGTACCTGTGTGTGTGTGTGCGCGCGCATGCCTGCGCGCAGCGCGTGTGTGTGTCTGTGCATGCCTGCGCGCAGCGCGTGAGCGTGAGCGCGTGAGCGTGTGTGCGTGCCTGCGTGTCTGTGCATGCCTGCGCGCAGCGCGTGAGCGTGAGCGCGTGAGCGTGTGTGCGTGCCTGCGTGTCTGTGCATGCCTGCGCGCAGCGCGTGTGTGTGTGTCTGTGCATGCCTGCGCGCAGCGCGTGAGCGTGCCTGCGTGTGTGCATTGCATGCATGCGTATCAGCGTGTGTGTGCCTGTGTGTGCATCCCTGCGTGTGTGCGTGTGTGCGTGTGCATGCGCGTCAGCGCGCGCAGCCCTGCGTTCGCGTGTGCAGGTCGCTCGTGGGACTGCGCACGCGCGCGCGGTGTCCGGGGCGCCGCAGACATCCCCTGCGGGATCCCGGCCGGCTGCTGGCGGGGAGGGGGTGGGGAGGGAGGGCGAGGGGTCCGCGGCGGCCCAGTGCGCATGTCCGCGATGTGCGGTGCACGCCGCGGTTCTCATTGTCCGCACCGGCGGCTGGGGCGGGGCGGGGCCGGGGATGGGGGGAAGGGGAGGGGAGGCCAGGGGAGGGGGAGACGGACCGGGCGGGGAGGGGGCTGGGAGGGATGAGTGAGGGAGGGGAGGGGGCAGGTGAGCGGGGGAGGAGGGCGTGGCGAGGGCGGGGCCTCGGCGGGCCGGGGGCGGAGCGAGGGCGTGGCCATGGCGGGCCGGGGCGAGGGCGGGGCCTCGGCGGGCCGGGGGCGGGGCCTCGGCGGGCCGGGGGCGTGGTGAGGCCTCGGCGGGCCGGGGGCGGAGCGAGGGCGGGGCCCTGGCGGGCCGGGGGCGGAGCGAGGGCGGGCCCATGGCGTGGCGAGGGCGTGGCCATGGCGGGCCGGGGAGAGGGCGGGGCCCTGGCGGGCCGGGGGCGGGGCCCTGGCGGGCCGGGGGCGGGGCCTCGGCGGGCCGGGGGCGGGGCGTCCCCGCCGCGTCCGCACCAATCGCGTGCGCCGTCCTCGGAGCTCCGACCTCCGGCCGGGGAGGCTGCGGCGCGGCCGGCCGCGGCGGGGAGGGGCCGGGGTCGGCGGCGCGGGACCCGGTCGGGGCGGGGCGGGGCGGGGCGGGGCGGGGCGGGGGGGGGTCCCCGGGACCCCGGTGGCGCTTTCCGGCCCGGGCCCGGCGGAGGCGGCGCGCGGGGCGGGGACCGCGCATCCCGGGACCGTCGCCGCGGCCGCCGGGGATGCTCGGGCGCCGCCGCCCGCCGCCGCCGCCGCAGCCCCGGCGTCTCCGGCCTGAGCCGCCGCGCCCCGGGCCGCGGAGCGCAGAGGACGCCGGCCGCGGGCGCGCGCGGAGCGGCGGGGAGCGGAGCGGCGGGCGGGCGCGGGCCGGAGCGCGCGCGGGGCGGCCGTGAGCGGGACCCCGCCGTCCCGGGCGCCCCCCGTCCCCGCGCCCCGCGTCCCCCCGCCATGGCGGCGCGCGGCTGGCGCCTGGCGCGGACGCGGCTGCCCGTGGGCGCGAGCGCGCTGTGCGCGCTGCTGCTGTGCGGCCTCTACGTGCTGCCCGCCGGCCGCGCGCCGCGCCAGCAGGACATCATCCGCGCCGTGCTGCGCCGCCGCGCCGCCTGGGCGCCCAACCGCACCGCCGCGCGCGCCTTCAGGTACGCCGCCGCCGCCCGCCCCGCGCCCATCGCCCGCCCCGCGCCCATCGCCCGCCCCGCGCCCGCACCGCCCCGCGCCCATCGCCCGCCCCGCGCCCATCGCCCGCCCCGCGCCCATCGCCCGCCCCGTGCCCGCACCGCCCGCCCCGCGCCCATCGCCCGCCCCGCGCCCGCACCGCCCGCCCCGCGCCCATCGCCCGCCCCGCATCCGCCAGCCCGCCCCGCGCCCATCGCCCGCCCCGCATCGCCAGCCCCGCGCCCGCCCCGCCCGCCCGCCCCGCATCCGCCCGCCCCGCGCCCATCGCCCGCCCCGCGCCCATCGCCCGCCCCGCGCCCATCGCCCGCCCCGCGCCCGCACCGCCCGCCCCGCGCCCGCACCGCCCGCCCCGCACCACCCGCCCCGCATCCGCCATCCCGCCCCGCCCCGCATTCGCCAGCCCCGCATCACCCGCCCGCATCCATCACCCGCCCCGCACCGTCCCGCGCCCGCCCGCCCGCCCTCCTGTCTGTTCACCGGCCCGCTCGTCTCTCCGTCGTCTGCCCGCCCGCCCATCCGTCCGTCCGTCCGTGCGTCTGTCTGTCCCTCTGTCCGCCCACCTGCCTGCCCGTCTGTCTGTCTCTGCGTCCGTCTGTCCGTGCGTCCGTCCGCCCACCTGCCTGCCGGTCTGTCTGTCTGACCGTGCACGTGACTACCCGCCCGCCTCTCTGTCTGGTCGTCTGTTCCCCTGTCCCCCTGTCTGTCCATCCGTCCGCCGTTGGTCGGTCCGTCTGCAGCGTCCTCCCGAGCGCCGCCCCCCCCCCCCCGCGCCTTTGTCGCCTCCTCGTCGGTGGGGGAGGGGGCGGGGGAGGGGCGGCTTTGTGCGCAGGGCGGGGCGCGCGTGTGCGAGTGCGTGTGCGAGTGCGTGTGCGAGTGCGTGTGTGTGAGTGCGAGTGTGTGTGTGTGAGTGCGAGTGTGTGTGTGAGTGCGTGTGTAAGTGAGTGAGTGCGCAGGTCTGCGTGTGCGAGTGCGTGTGCGAGTGCGTGTGCGAGTGCGTGTGTGTGAGTGCGAGTGTGTGTGTGTGAGTGCGAGTGTGTGTGTGTGAGTGCGTGTGTAAGTGAGTGAGTGCGCAGGTCTGCGTGTGCGAGTGCGAGTGCGAGTGCGAGTGCGTGTGTGTGAGTGCGCAGGTCTGCGAGTGTGTGCGTGCACGTGTGTGTGTGAGTGCACAGGTCTGCGTGTGAGTGTGCGTGTCTGCATGCGCGTGTGCAGGTCTGTCTGCGCGCGTGTCTATGTGTACACATGTACAGGTCTGCGCGTGTGCGTGTGCAGGTCTGCGTGTGAGTGTGCGTGTCTGCATGCGCGTGTGCAGGTCTGTCTGCACGTGTGTCTATGCGTACGCGTGTGCAGGTCTGCGCGTGGGGTGTGCACACGCGCCCGTGGGTGTGCCTGCGCGTGCCCGCTGCAGTCACAACTTTGCCCTGAGCTGCCTGCGCCGCATTTGGTTTCTGGTGTTTTGGATTTTTTCTGGAAGGTCAGAACTTCTCCAAGGTCACTCTGTTCACAATGACTCTGTGCGTGTGTGCACGCGCGCGTGTGTGCGTGCGCGTGTGTGTGTACATGCGTGTGCGTGCGCGTGCATGTGTGTGGAAGTGCCCGGATTTTTCTGCTGTGTGCAAGCCTCAGCACTCCTGAGGGTTGGGCTGGACTTTGTAGATGCTTCTGGAAGGTGGAAGTGTCCTTCAGGGACAGGACTGGAAAGCAGACCAAGGAGGCCAGGCCGGCGGCGGCCGTGGCCCCAGGTCCCTTCTCACCCTTTGCCGGGAACTGGTTTGGTTTGGTTTGGTTTGGTTTTCTCTGGTCTCGGTCCTGGGACTCAAACTCAGGGCTGGGCGCTGTCCCGGAGCTCTTCAGCTCAAGGCTGGCGCTCTACCACTTGAGCCACAGCGCCACTTCTGGCTTTTTGCTGGCTCATTGGAGATGAGAGTCTCAAGGACTTTCCTGCCCGGGCTGGCTTTGAACCTTGGTCCTCCGATCTCGGCCTCCTGAGCAGCTGGGATGGCAGGCGGGAGCCTCCAGGGTGTAGGTGATTTCCAGCTGGGGCGGGAGTGACCGGCAGAACAACCCCGCTGCACTGACAGGAAACAGCGTCTCTTCTGTTTGCAACCAGCTCCCTTTACTGTCACAACATAAACTTCCCCCGGCCGACTCTATTTGAGAATCTACAGCTTTGCGTCCGATCTGTGTGAACTGCTCAATGGATCTGGGAAGATGGTTTTAAGATGCTCTCTTGTACGACCAGAAGTATAGCTCAGGAAATGAACAGAAGTCTCTCTTTAAAAAAGAAAAAAAAAAATCCGGTGCTAGTTGAAAGGACTTCCTCACAGAGCTGGAGTTGAAAGCCGTCCATCTCCTGAAGGCCGCAGAGGAAGCGTTTCCCGGTGTCTTTCCATTTGATCTGACCTCCTTGCTGGCTTTTATCTTGGTGACCTTCCTGCAGAGCCTCCGCTGGCAGCCTGTAGGAAGTTTTTCCCGATAGAAAGACTACAGAGGTTGGGTGCTGGTGGCTCACACCTGTCATCCCAGCTGCTCAAGGAGGCTGAGATTTGAGGATTGAGCTTGGAGGCCAGCCTGGGCAGAAAACTGGAGGTGGAGCTGTGGCTCAAGTGGTAGAGCGCCAGCCTTGAGCAAAAAGAAGCCCAGGGACAGCGCCCAGGCAGTTTGGTGTGCAAGCTTTTATTCTTGGTACCTGACAGGAGAACCACAAAGAGCCAGGAACAAAAACAGACGCAGAACAGTTGAGCAGTCACTTAGTACCGGCCTGGCTTCTCAGGCTGCGTTACTAGACACGTCCTTACGGGAAACTCGTACGGGGTGGAGATTGTGTACATTCACAGTGACCAACGCAGACAGAACTCCTGGAATGGCACAAAAGCCACAGATCATTCTCCTCCCTCCCTCCCTCCCTCCCTCCCTCCCTCCCTTCCTCTCCCTCTCTCTCTCGATAAATATATATTATCAATGTATCTGTAGAGTTATAAACATGTCCAGAGTTAAAAACATATCTCTGATAGCTACAGATAGAAGTTGATAAAGATATATAGGTAAAAGGCAAGCTGTATAGATAGATTACATATCTACATAGATATCTAGATATGATGATATTAAATGTAGAGATCTAGGTAAACGTGTGATAGATATTAATCAGTAGATATAGGTATGATAGCTATATCTATATCCATATATAGATAGGTATAATACGTGTATAGATATACAAATGAAAAGGTATCTAGCTATATATGGATATAGATATATAGGTATATGTATAGTTATATGTGTGTGTGTGTATAGGTATATATTGCTAACTATACATAGGTGTGTGTATAGGTATAGATAGATAGGTATATACAGATATATAGGTATATATAGATAGATATGTAGTTGTATGTAGATTTATAGGTAGATAGAAATGTACAGGTAGATATATAGAAAATAGGCATATATAGACATGGGCATATATAAATATAGGTGTATATATAGATATATAGGTATACAGGTATCTAGATGTCTATATGTAAATTTACATATGTGGGTAGATCTGTCTATATCATCTACCTATCTAGAGCTCTAGACAGCTGTATGCCTAGGAAGACATGTATATATCATAGAGATAGAAACTGTGCTTCTGTTTGTATATATGAAGAGCTAGCTATAGAAATCTACATAGATAGGGAGACAGACAGATAGATAGATAGATAGACAGACAGACAGACAGATAGGGAGCTAGACCCCTGTCCCTCTAGTTATATAGAAATACATGTGTGTGTGCATTTAAGTCTGTGTCTCTGTGTCTGTGTGTGTACAGAAGCCGCCAAGGCTGAACTTACAGCAGGGGCAGGCCAGTGCTGTGACATGGCCTCAAAGGCAGTCGGGCCCCAACCTCTGGCTGTGGCTACAGCCCCGCTCACGAGAGGAGGGGCGGCCGGACCTACAGCCGGGCGCGCGCGGTGTGGCCTCTTTGTGACCGATGACACATGACCAGACGGGGCTCAGGGGACTCGAGGGAGAAGACAGGGTAAGCAGCAGCAAAGCGGTTGTTTGGAAGGTGCTGCTGACCCCCGGCCCCTCTCCTCCTCTCCCCGTGTGGAAGGGGCTTTTTTCTCTCCCTGCGTCGAGTTCCTGAGAGACTCAGACAAAGAAAAGCAGCTTGGGGGAAACATGGCTTCATGACCTGGCTGGAATTCAGAACTCGGCGCTGCCCCTGAGCTTTGTCTTTTTGTGGCTCAAGGCTGGTGCTCTACCCCTTGAGCCACACCTCCACTTCTGGTTTTGTTTTGTTTTTTTTTTTTGCTGGTTCATTGGAGATCAGAGTCTCCTGGACTTTCCCGCCTGGGCCAGCTTCTAACTGCGATCCTCAGATCTCAGCCTCCCGAGTAGCTGGGATGGCAGGCGGGAGCCGAGGGCCTGCACAGCGAGTTAAATAAGTGTTGATACTTAAGAAAATAAGAGGGCTGGGCAGGTGGCTCAGTGGTAGAGTGCTCGCCTAGCATGCACGAAGCCCTGGGTTCGATTCCTCAGCACCACAGACACAGAAAAAGCCAGCAGTGGTGCTGTGGCTCAAGTGGTAGAGCGCCAGCCTTGAGCCAAAGCAGCTCAGGGACAGTGCCCAGGCCCTGAGTTCAAGCCCCAGGACTGGCAAGAAAGAAAGAAAGAAAGAAAAAGAAAATAAGGTACAATCCGGGTGTGGTGGTTTACACCTATAATCCCTGCCCTTGGTAGGTGGAAGCTAGAAGATGGAAAGTTCTAGGCCAGCCAGGGCTAAACAGTGTGTTTTAAGCTAGCCAGAGACACAAAGTGAGATACTTCCTCAACACCAAAACCCCCTGAGTCAAACACGCAGCAACAGCAAAAGCAAGAATAAGACGACCAAGAGAAGAAGGTACAGTTGCGCAACCCGCTTCAGAAAAGCCCAACAGGCATCACTAAAGCAAGCAAACAAAACCTCCCGAGGACACGGATAGGGCAG